CAAACATATTGTTTCTAGGATATCCTACATGTCCAACAAAATTAATTCTCTGTAGAATATCAAACAGTCAGTCATAGAGTGAGTGAGTCTGGTTTTACACCACTTTTAGCAATATTCCAGCAATATCATGGTATGGTTGTGTTCACGTGGTCATGTCAACGAGTGAATGCATAGGTCGTTCACCTTCACAGAGGCCCAAACACTGATGGCAGCAGAGGAATGTTTACTTAGTGAGGTCTATTTCTGTGATAATCTACCTAATAGTGAGTTAGTGACTTAAGAGCTAAGATTTATAGTCACATCAGCAGTATTTCAGCCATATTGTGACTACAACAATTTAGACATGAATACGAAATATGTGTAAACTTCTTAAAAAATTGTCAGCAAAGGACTGTAAAATATCTAGAGTATGATAATCTACCTAACAGTACCAGGTTATACACTTCATATAAGCATCAACAATTATCTTCTCAGGCAGTCATCAATTCAAGGCAGGTGCAAACACAAAACAGGCGATGTACAAGGCAGGCAATAATTCAAGGATTATAATTATTCAAGTATTTATTGTAGCCCTGCTGTGTCTTTGTGTGTTTGTTTGTTGTTTAACGTCGCACTCTGCAATATTCCAGCTATATGACAGCGGTCTGTAAATTATAGAGTCTGAACCAGACAATCCAATGATTGACATCATGAGCATCGATCTACACAATTTGGATACAATGACATGCATCAACCAAGTCAGTAAGCCTGACTACCTAATCCTGTTTGTAGCCTCTCTTATGACAAGTATGGGTTGATGAAGACAAATTCTAACCCAGATTCTACGCAAATACACATATCTGGAGCTCTGTGTACCAGCTAACCCATTTTCCAAGGTCGTTTGGTCTTTACCCAGTTTCTGATATATCAAGCAAGATGTTCTGTGAAGAAATAATGTTAGCTGTTTCGTGCCACCTGCCAGAGCAAACATTGTCGGTCATAACACATCTCCCTCGCTATAACGCCAACACCCACCCACAACTCTAATTGATATCTGCAAATATCAACACAGAAGTTCCCACATGGACACACATCATGCTATGTATTGTTGATGTAGGAATGGATGGAACATGTAGATCTGTGTCAGTACTGCTTGCCTTGTAATGAGGAAGTCGTGTAAATACGAACACATTCGGATGGGAACTCATTAATTTAAGTATTTTATCTATTACTCTGTCTGTTGTGTTGTTGACATGGACAAACTGGAAATTAATTCCAATGCTTCAAGGCAAATAAAATCTAACGAAAGTGAACTTATGTTATCGTGGGCTTGACACTGACAGAAAATATAAATATTCCAATTTTTTGTACCAAAAGTAACAGAATGTTTGTATGTGTTCATGATGCAATACTCTGAACGTATGAACTTCAGTTGACTTTCAAGTTTAAAATGAATGCGTGTGGGAGCTGCAATCTGAGTTGTTGAAAAATAATATGATTTAGATCCAGGAAGTCTTCTGAATTATTCACTGTGCAGAATTAATTTTCTTAACAAATATCACATTTCTCTTAATTCAAAAATTGAAACAACATGCCAGTTGGTTGGCGAACTGGACACCATGTTAATTAAATTTAGTTTCAATAATAGTTTCAATAGTCTGTCAATTTGCCCACAATATTTATATTTAACTTTTGTTTTGTTCTTCCTCCACAATCTGCTGACCTGGCAAGTTTAGTTACCATGGAAGCATGTGACATCATCACACGTCAGGGTGACAATATAGCATTCCAGGGAATGTTTTCCAGCATTTTCAGATTTGCCGGTCCTATTGAGTATTCAACGCCCAGTTAGTTTGAAACCTATGGCTAATGCTGTCAGTTATAACTGAAATGTCCAGGCATTGATAACTCAATCAACCCCACATATCTCCAAACATATCACATGTCTATCTGCAACACATAGCGGGGGCATGGATGGCCTAGTCGTCTTAGCCACTGCAATTTGCTTTGCAGAGTTGCGTCCCTTGAGTATGCCCAAACCTATGATCGTGAGTTCGAATCCCGGTTCGCCCCGATTATGTTTCTACGATTGCCACACCATACCAATGCTCGTAGGTTTCACCAAAACGGTAAACGTCTGAGATCTGTAATATAAGTGGAATAGTGTTCAAAGTGACATTAAACCCATCTCACTCATTCTTATTGGAGGCCTGGATCTTTAATAAGAGGTCCTGCCTTTATTATTTTGCATCTGATACTGTGACAAGAAGAAACAGGTTAGGTTTGTACACTTTCTGGTATCCAGCGAGTGAGTGAGTTAGTGAGTGAGTGAGGGAGCAAGCAAGCGAGTGACACAGCTTTGAACAGTATGCAGAAGGAAAGTCCAAAGTGATGCAGGTCTCAGACGTTTACCACATTGGTAAAACCCATGAGTACAGGTTTGGTGCTGACAGACCTAGAAACATAATCAGGGCCAACCGGGATTCGAACCCATGATCATAGGTTTCTAAGCGATGCAACTCTTCACAGAGAAATTCCATGCCTTAGATGACTGGGCCATCAATGCTCCCTGGTGTCTTGCTTTACAAATGTGACCAGCTGTCTTAACCTCTAGGCATATCATCCATCTTGTCATCCCAAGCATCCTACATAACAAGTGTTACACAGAACATTGCCATCTTACTCTCTCCACAGCTGACCTGAGTAGCCTGTCAGGGCATGACCTATACTTACAATGCATGCACATAACTCCACAGCTGACCTGAGTAGCCTGTCAGGGCATGACCTATACTTACCATGCATGCACAGAATTCCACAACTGACCTGAGTAGCCTGTCAGGGCATGACCTATACTTACAATGCATGCACAGAACTCGACAGCTGACCTGAGTAGCCTGTCAGGGCATGACCTATACTTACAATGCATGCACAGAATTCCACAACTGACCTGAGTAGCCTGTCAGGGCATGACCTATACTTACAATGCATGCACAGAACTCCACACCTGACCTGAGAAGCCTGTCAGGGCATGACCTATACTTACAATGCATGCACAGAACTCGACAGCTGACCTGAGTAGCCTGTCAGGGCATGACCTATACTTACAATGCATGCACAGAATTCCACAACTGACCTGAGTAGCCTGTCAGGGCATGACCTATACTTACAATGCATGCACATAACTCAACAGCTGACCTGATTAGCCTGTCAGGGCATGACCTATACTTACAATGCATGCACATAACTCCACAGCTGACCTGAGTAGCCTGTCAGGACATGACCTATACTTACAATGCATGCACATAACTCCACAGCTGACCTGAGTAGCCTGTCAGGGCATGACCTATACTTACAATGCATGCACATAACTCCACAGCTGACCTGAGTAGCCTGTCAGGGCATGACCTATACTTACAATGCATGCACATTACTCCTCACCTGACCTGAGTAGCCTGTCAGGGCATGACCTATACTTACAATGCATGCACAGAACTCCACAGCTGACCTGAGTAGCCTGTCAGGACATGACCTATACTTACAATGCATGCACAGAACTCCACAGCTGACCTGAGTAGCCTGTCAGGACATGACCTGTACTTACAATGCATGCACAGAACTCCACAGCTGACCTGAGTAGCCTGTCAGGACATGACCTATACTTACAATGCATGCACAGAACTCCACAGCTGACCTGAGTAGCCTGTCAGGACATGACCTGTACTTACAATGCATGCACATAACTCCTCACCTGACCTGAGCAGCCTGTCAGGGCATGACCTGTACTTACAATGCATGCACAGAACTCCTCACCTGACCTGAGAAGCCTGTCAGGGCATGACCTGTACTTAGAAGGCATGCACATAACTCCTCTCCTCACCTGACAATTAGACCCGTGAAGATTCCGGGGTAGAATAGGTCTTCAGCAACCCATGCTTGTCGTAAAAGGCGACTAACGGGATCGGGTGGTCAGGCTCGCTGACTTGGTTGATGCATGTCATTGATCCCAATTACGTGGATCGATGCTCATGACATTAATCACTGGATAGTCTGGTCCAGACTCGATTATTTACAGACCGCTTTCATATAGCTGTAATATTGCTGAGTGCGGCGTTAAACAACAAACCAAACCAAACCAAAACCTGACAATTAATGATGATAAAAGACCAATCAGGTTGCACGAACATCACAGTGTAAACTGTGGTGTTGAGGATGTCTGATAGAAGGGTTGTGTGTTCACTGCTCAACTCAAACAGGCATGTAGTGGGTGCTTTAACAACACAGTTTAAGTCCGTCTATCGCCATTGTGTCGCATTGCAACCGAGAATCAGAGACTTAATGTCAAATCGTCAAAGATACAACTGTATATATAAAAAACAAGAGCCATCAGAAGATGACAAATCCCCCCGGCCCCCACAATAGCAAAAGGCATGCTATAGCACCACTTCACCACTTCAGCCCCTTGTTAATATATGTACAAAGTTTGGATAAAATAATCTGTCACGGTTTTCAAGTTATGCTCCATAAATGAACAATACGGACAGACATACAGATGGATGGTCGGACTGACTGACAGACAGACCAGATGGCGTCTGTGTATCCTCCTGCATTATATGACGAGGGGGTAAAAAGTGAATTAACTTTATGACAGACAAAACTATCGCAATGGTGAAAATAGTCCCAGTTGTCCCCTCTAGTATTGAATTATGGTATCGAAGGATAGCCAATTGGCCTGACCCTAATGCCTCTCCTACAACAAGGGTCCATTCCATAAAGAGATCTTAACACAAAGAGAAACATACCTCCCATAGTTTAACATTGAGTTATGATAGTCCTAGTGCTATAATTCCTTTGTGGTTATTGGGCTCACACACTCAGCAACAAAAATATTGCAAGTTTTCCTCAGTAAAATATTCTCTTGCTCCTTCTTTTGTATATCATCAGGCAATTAAACAAAAACAAATCTGACAAAAACATCATTTCAAACATTAAATGTCTCCCGTTTACATGAAAATCTGTCTTACCTGTGTCTCTAGCTTTTTCCTCGGGGACCTCGGCCTTGAATCTGAATTTGACCTAGTCCGAAATTTATTCATAAACTGTTCAACAGGGGTGGAGGGTCCTGACTTATGCCTGGCTCTGTCTCCCTTAGCATCTAGCATCTGTCCCTCCAAGATCTGCCCCATTGGGGATATAGGGTCAGCGGGGCCCCTCGGGGCTAACATAGTCGGCGTAACTCCGTGTGCGTGAAGCTGCGACTCGTCCATAGAACGCTCCATGACCATAGCGGGCTTCTTCCCCGGCTTCTTCATACCAGACACATCCGACTTGGAACGTGGACGAAAACTGTCAAAAAAGTTTTTCACTTTTGAAGATGTTGTAGGAGAACCACTTTTACTGTCTTCCCCGGATTTGTTTCGTTGCCGAGTTTTCCCACTGAGCAGGCTTTTCAGACCCGTAGATCCCGCTCTGGGACGGAAGTCTTGGTCTACATCCATCATATTTCCATCTGCCACATCCGAGTCCAGGAGAGGCATCGCAAAGGCACTTAGGTCCTGAAACACACAAGGAAGTTGTTATCTAGAATCGGTAATGCATGGTGGCAGGGATCCCCCTTGTCTACACTATACACCAGCTACAACAGAATGGATGGACCAGACAATAGGAACTGAAGGAATGACTATACAGGCACAATTTGCTTCTTCAGAAATTAAATCATAACATATAAAATTGAATCCTGGAAGTTATATGTTGATAAAACCATTTTAACAGAGACAGTCTGGCTCTCAAACAAGTCTAAATGTTCTCAGAACATATTTTAGGATAAGTTGCCATATCAAAATCAAAATCAATAAAAGCGATGTTGAAGAAAATCCAGATATCTGAATTCCTCTCACTGCTGGCCCCGAGATGTGTCAGTGAAAAGCTTGTATGTCCATAATGTATGTTCTGTTTTACACATGTCCGTATTACACATGTCCGTATTACACATGTCCGTATTACACATGTCCGTAGTACACATGTCCGTAGTACACATGTCCGTAGTACACATGTCCGTAGTACACATGTCCGTATAACACATGTCCGTAGTACACATGTCCGTATAACACATGTCCGTAGTACACATGTCCGTAGTACACATGTCCGTATTACACATGTCCAGTAGTACACATGTCCGTAGTACACGTCCGTAGTACACATGTCCGTAGTACACATGTCCGTAGTACACATGTCAATACCAGTGTAGGAAATATCCACCTGCATGACCATCACTCAGTAAGGGTTAACTTGCAAGTCGGATTGGCGTTTCCCAAAGGATAGGTAAGATGTTTCAATTTTTAATCAGACAATACTACAAATACTCTTTTGGCCTTTTGTAATTTATTGTCTGTGAAAAGTTAAAAGTACGAAGTGATTACTCAAGTTATTTCTCTTCCAATTCACACTTTTCCCTACTGACTCAATTCTGTGGCCAAAATGATTGAGTCTACTCGCCCTGAGCTTCATTTTAAGAACATTTTAGTGTTATATGGTATTTTATCAGCTGATCTTACTAGACCGAACAGAAGTTTACTAGACTCTGGCTTCAGGCAGGTGGCTAAAGTCGCAGACTATTACTCCATAGTCAACAGATGGAACCGAGTTAGTCCAATATATATATATCCACAGACATCGTACCAATATATATATATCCACAGGCATTCTACCAATGGAAAGATTCACAAAAAATGTACGATGAAGTGGAAACGTGAGACAGATGTCCCAAACACATACCTGTCGTAAGCATACTTTCAATATGCGCAATATAGTCTAACATGGACATATTTCTCTCAAAGAATATATTTTATCGCTCGCATCTTACCATAGTCAACCAACTTTAGTCGACTAAACTTGGACCAATGTTTAAAGTGATCTCAGTATTAAGATGACCCATTCCTTAACATTGAAATAGGACTGTCATAGCATTATATTGTTGAACAAGGCTGACTCACTGTCTGTCACAGCGCCCCAATGGTGGAGGTCATTGCACCTCCAATGGTGGAGGTCATTGTGCCCCAATGGTGGTGGTCATTGCACTCCAATGGTGGAGGTCATTGCGCCCCAATGGTGGAGGTCATTGCACCTCAATGGTGGCGATCATTGCACCCAAATGGTGGAGGTCATTGCACCCCAATGGTGGTCATTGTGCCCCAATGGTGGAGGTCATTGTGCCCCAATGGTGGGGGTCATTGCACCCCAATGGTGGAGGTCATTGCACCCAAATGGTGGAGGTCATTGCACCCCAATGGTGGTCATTGTGCCCCAATGGTGGAGGTCATTGCACCCCAATGGTGGAGGTCATTGCACTCCAATGGTGGAAGTCATTGCACGCCAATGGTGGAGGTCATTGCAACCCCAATGGTGGAGGTCATTGCTCATGCTTTCAGTAACGAGTCCATTTTGATCCCAGAATCCCAATGGAGCCTGACCACTCAAGACTTTCAACAGAACACAAAGTTTCAACACTCTTGTTCCCAAGGAACTTTCACCCAGCCAACAGGCATACATTCTCACAAGCTAGATCAAATGTCAAGACAAACACATTGATAAATCGATTCGGATATTTGAAAACTGAACTTTTTAAACTGAAGTCCCAAACAGCAGGTGACCTACAAGTGGGTTGCCATGCCTGGAGTGTGTTGCCCCAGACACACATTTCCTATCATGTGTCATGATGATCATGAGTGCTGATTTGACACAGATATTCACCTCATTTTCAAAATTAACAATGCCACAGGTAAAAAACTGGTCTTGACAATGTCAAAACGATGTCCTTTGAATAATATATTGAATCAATTGCTGACGGGTGGCTTGTTTAAGAAAGCTGTTCAGGAGAGTGATATTTGTACCTCAAGATATATAGATCTCGGAAATCATTTTTCATGTTCTAGCATGAAAACAAAGCACTTACTGTGAACGTTTTCAAGAGAAATCCTTTATGTAGAGTCTTTATAGACTCATGTGTACACTACACTCAACTTCCGCTCAAATCATCACATAAGAAAAAAATAAATCAATCTAAATCTCAACAGCATATGGCCAAGTAAATATAACCAGAACTCGTATGGTATGTACGAGTTTCTTGTAATCACACACAATACCATACGAGTTTCTTGTAATCACACACAAAGTCAAACAGTATTCAAATGAAATCACACAAAAAAGCATAAAACACTTAACCAATGATCAACATATTCTTAGGGTGGAGTTAAAAAAATGTGATTTCAGATAAAAACCTTCAACCTTACGTTAATAGACAACACCCACACCGCTGTGTGACCCCTACCCTACCCCAAATTCAACAAGGAGAAAGGCTCAAGGAATTACATACAACGAATATACACTCACCGCCAAAAGAAACATAAACAATAGAAACATATAGTGAAGTATGTACGTTAAGAAGAGATGTTTCAACAATCAGTCAGTGTTACCACAGAGTGACTTTATTTTCATCACGATATGTTGCACGATATTTCCAAACTTTACACGCTAATCCTGCACGAGACAAATGGTGTGCATCTCGAGCCATGGATCTATTGCGTCACATGGTATGCGTTCATGAGCATCAGTTCACACAACATACCAGTAAGTTTGTTTGTGCATAGAACCAATCTAATATCTCTTGAATATGAGTAAGTCTTCATATATTAACCAACATGTATGGTATTCACATTTCTTTTGGCAGTGAGAATATATATCAAGCCAACTTTTTGAAATGCGGTGGGGAATAGGGCTGCCCTGCTACCAGAATTCACACTACAGAGTTGCCTCCCTTTGGCATGCCAGGATCCAATGATCATGGGTTTTAACCCTAGGTTTGTCCTGAGTATGCCCCTCAGCTTCTCAGCATCACACCCATGCATCATGGGTTTCATCAAACCATCGCTTTAGGCTCTTCTCCCACATAAAGCTGAGGGTGCCACCATTCCTTCCCTGAATCCCATCTAATTTTACACTCATTGCTCACCCTGAATCCTGAATACCATCTAATTTTACACTCTGAGTCTCATTGCTCACCCTGAATCCTGAATACCCTCTAATTTTACACTCTGAGTCTCATTGCTCACCCTGAATCCTGAATACCCTCTAATTTTACACTCTGAGTCTCATTGCTCATCCCTGAATCCTGAATACGACTTAACACAAATCTCAAAAGCATTGAGAAAAGGTTGCAATTTGAAGTTTAGGTACTGCAAAAATATTTAAAAATATAAATCATAAAGGACACTTTTACATACTCCATTATCTAATGTTTAATGTTGAATCTGAGTAACTAATACGTTTTTATTTGTGCCCCACGTACCACACTACTGAGTCTTGAATACTCTCTAAATAGACCCGGAATCCTGCATACCAAAAGGGGTTAGCAGTGTCAAAGCTGACACAGTCATGATGTAACAGAAATACTGCTCACGAGGTGATGACCTCCACTCAAATGAAATTACATCTAGGAGATGTGCACTTTACAAGTACACTGCCACCAGGAACTGCACTGAGCACAAGCGTGTGATGAAACACCACAATGACTCGATTGCCTCAGATCTTAATGGAGCACCACTACCACAACATCCCTATGAACAACGCAGGAGGATCTTAGACCAACTTCAATGGAAGGCCACAATGCACAGGTAGGGCCTGGACTGTGACATTTCTCTACAAACACACTCACACAAAGCCCAGAGGAATTTACTTGAAACACCTTTACACAGACACCAATCATATTTATCTTAAACACTTGGGCAGAAAAGAAAAGAAAAGAAAAGAAAAAGAAATGTCTTCTAAAATATGAAACCTTCACCAGGTCCACATGCACTGTTCCATCGAGGATAGTACATTTTTTTTCATCACTGACATGTCACTGAATGTCAGGTCTTGATATATTATATGAAGTGGCTAAGGGACAATGGGGGGGTGGGGGGGGGGGGGGGTGTCAGTGATAATAAGATGCAGGGTATTGAAAAACTGACACAGCGAAAGGGGGAGTTTGAGAAAAATGAATTCTATTTAATCAAGTTATTATTCTGAAGAATATTTATGGATTGAGGTCATGAAAAAATGACACTGAAAGAGGTGCGGGGTGGGAGGGGGAGAGAGGATGTAAAAATCCTATTTCTTCAGGTTATAAATTGGAACATTATTTAGGGAATGGTCATTTATTACAGGTGGAGGGAGGGTCCTGAAAACATTGTTACATGTTTGGGAGGGGGCAAGAAAGAAAATGTTACTAAAAAATAGGGGCTGGTAGGATGTCAACAAAATATGACTGTCCTAAGACCAATCCCACAAGACGACCAGCCCACCTGACCCCTGTAATAACTGACCGGTCTCTGAGCCTTTTTGTACCCTGGCCTTCAAGAGGTATATGTGTACAATAATTACATTATAATATCCTATAATCAGTTACTCCACACCAGGACATTAGCATGTGCCAACTCCCAACACGTGGTTAGACGAAGCTCGATTTAGCAACACCGTGACCTTCTCCTGTTTATTGATGTCCGCTCTTCATGTTACC